GTTAATGGACGCTTTGTGGAATCACACTTTCTGTAATTTTGTTTCAGAAAGAAGCCTGCGTGGAGTCATCCCATAGATGACATCCTTACCTTGTCAGCTTGCTGTCGGGGTTAACCTCTTTGGTATGGTGGCTGATTAATCTCGCGTTATCGCTTTCTCCTCTCGCGTTATCGCTTTCTCGTCTCGCGTTATCGCTTTTTCTCGTGTTATCGCTTTCTCGTCTCGTGTTATCGCTTTCTCGTCTCGTGATATCGATTTCTCGCTTTCTCGCCTCCGAATTTTAAGGCGAGAAAGCGATGGACCTAATCAGCCACCATAGGTGTCCGACTTCGGAGCAGAAGGTCCGTGGTTCCAATTCCAGCACGGGCCTTGACAGTTTTATGGCCGCTACATGTGACCCGTGAAGATCCAGGTTAGAACTGGTGTTCAGTAACCCATGATAATCGTAAGACGCGACTAACGGGTTCGGGTGGTCAGGCTCGCTGACTTGGTTGACACGTGTCATCGTATCCCACTTGTGCAGATCGATGCTCATGCTGTTGATCGCTGGATTTTCTGGTCCAGACTCGATTATATACAGACCGTAGCAATATAGCTGAAATACTGAGTGCGACGTTATACAACAACAAAAAACAGAAAAGGAAGTTGGGTGTTTAAACAGGAGTTAATGAGTGATTCGTAACGTTATATAAGTGCTGATGACGTCGAAGACACCGGAAGTACTCTTGGCGGGGCCTACAGATTATGAGTGGGAATTCACAAATCAAATTAATGAGTTTGCCCAAGTGTTACACACAATTTCCAGTGATGGAATTTTGAGACCAACATCACTTCGGGTTTCACAGTCACCATCCCCTTCGCTTCCTACCCCCTCACCTATTCAAGATAACACGCCGTGCTGTCATTGAACCACGAGTTCGTTAGTTATAAAGCGTTTCCAGAGACTTGGCATTTACACTTGGATATACAACATCTACTGGACATCATGATTTGTTTTGAAAAATACGCTTGGGAATAAACTGACACAATGTAATGTGATAAATGATTAGTATATTCAGTCAAGCAGCTTCAGAAACATCCCGCCTTGCTGTTCTTCTAATGTAATAAGAATAACGATGCATACACTTCACTGAGGGTATGCTACGCGTTACACAGCCTGTCAGGTTATCGCATTCGTATCGATTCAAGGGCAGCATTCGACCAACATCTAGACACCGACACGAATGGATTTTAAGGAAAATAATGTTATTAAAGGTCACATGCAACCAAAAACAAACATACTTAAAACACAATTATCATTTATTCATGACATATAATATACATTGCTGATTATGAAAAATCAGATAAACAAAATTATAAGCGTACAATCGCAAATCAAAAATGCAATATTTTGTACTTGGGTTTACTTCCCTCGAAACGAAGCACACCGTATACCGAACCCAGTCTGAGCGGGTGGGCGGGCACTTAAGTGTAACGAAGTCTTTCATTGGTCTGGTCCAGATAAGATTATTTACAGACCGACGCCATATAACTGGAATACTGTTGAGTGCGGCGTCAAACAACAAACAATTAGCATCAGTGAGCCTGACCTCCCGATCCCGTTAGTCGCCTCTTACAAGCCCGGGTTGCTGAAGATCAATTGTAACCCGGATCTTCACGGGTACTACCGTTATAACGAACTAAAAACAGCGACCACTTTGATTACCGTTATAAAGTACTCAAAAGGATCGCTTATTCTAGTTAGTTACTTTGAACATATGGCCGGACCAGACAAAACCCGTTCGCCATAATTGTGCCCGTTATAAACGTAGCTTCTCGTATTACTAACCCAAAGCTAACAAGATAATGATCACTCCTCTTTTGTCCCCATTCCTGTGTGTTACAGCAACAAGTAACCTTTTACATGTGGAGGTGTGTAACCAAATAGAACTCTACGATTCACAGTTTGTGTAGCTGAAATTAATCAACACGCCTGCGCGTATATCTGATCCCCATGATCAATTGTGGCTGCCCTAGAGCAGCTACTACTACTACTACTACTACTACTACTACTACTACTGCCTACTGCTGCTACTGCTACTACTACTGCTACTGCTGCTACTACTACTGCTGCTGCTACTACTGCTGCTACTGCTGCTACTGCTACTACTGCTACTGCTACTGCTACTACTACTACTGCTGCTACTATTACTGCTGCTACTACTACTACTACTACTGATGCTACTACTACTACTGCTGCTGCTGCTACTACTACTGCTGCTGCTACTACTACTGCTGCTGCTACTACTACTACTGCTACTGCTACTCCTTATATTGCTACTACTACTACTACAACTAATACTAATACTGCTGCCGCTGCTGCTGCTGTTCCTACTACTGTTACTGCTCCTTCCACTGCTACTACTACCCACTGCTACTACAACTACTACAAATGCTGCTGCTACTTCTACTAACATATACTCCTCACAACAAATTAAGCAACAAGTATTTTCAGTGTCATATTTTTATCAATCTCCATAGCGATTTTTGCCGACATGTTACTGAAAGGTAAATATTAAAAGAATACATAACCTTTAGTGACTGTCAAATTGATTTATCTGATAACATTGACAACATCACCCGAACACAACCACTTTTAGAAACAACATGCAAAATGTGTGGCATGAATGTGCTTCACTCTTCACACATACACCCTGATCGGTGTAAACCTATCTGTAATTATTTCTCTGGCACAACGAGCGGGGCCTAACATTTGCTATTTTTTATGGATGATAATGCCTGTCCATTGCTGATAATGCCCGAGAAAGAGTTGTTAATGATGTTGTTTAGATCAACAACATCACACATATGGACTAACCTACAAGGTCACCTCATCTTAATCCTATTGAACATGCTTGGGGCATTATTGAAAGTCGTGTTTACGGTCTCCATGTTCACCCCCAGACTCTGGATGACCTTGAGCAGACGTTACAGAGAGAATAGCAGAACATTCCACAACAGCAACTTTAAAGGCTCATTTGGTCAATGCAAAGACGTGTAGAAGCTTGCATTTGTGCTCATGGTGGTGAAACGCGCTACTGAACACTGCTTCACTGTCCAAAACTGACTTGAACCTTAATGTTAACATTTTGCTCCATCAATGCAGCACGTGTTGCACGACTGTTTAACGGGTACATGCTTTTGATGATTTGGAAGTCTATTATTGCTCAATACCATTTCATTTCATTTTGTTAATCGTGTGTACATACATGTATCTTTCACTTTTCTATTGCATCATCCCATGTTTTGCAATTTCAATAAATGAAAATGTAATGAGACTAAAAATTTGTGTTGCTTAACTTTATGAGGAGTATCGTACAAACACTAATAATCCTCTTGTCATAAGAAGCAATTAACACGGTTCGTACGGTCAGGATTGCTGACTTGGTTGATGCCATCATAACACATTTGCCGAGATAAATGTTCATGATGTGAATCATTGAATTGTAGTGTCCAGTCTCAATTATTTAACAGACCTACGTCATATAACCAGTGTATTGCTTACCGTTGCGTCAAACAACCAAAACGCAACCACTATTATCCAGTCGAAAATAAACAAACGCAGCAAAGAGGCTTCGAGTGATCCTGGCACTGTCACTCTGTGGAAACACTCCCCAATTTCAGTCGACAGATTTAGTGGCATCAAACCTAAGGCACAATGCGATTCTGAACTACTTGGTACATGGGATGCATCCTTTCATCCGCATCTTTACCATGTCTTTCCTGAATTTTGCGTCAATTAGTCCCAGGGGTACAGAGAGTTCATTCATGCTTTTATTGACTTCATAGCATTTATCAATAAGTCATGTCTGTTGGTATGGATACGTGTGAGGCTTTACATGGGTCCTTACCAAAGAATTATATATACTGGACAAAAATAGTTAGGGATATATGTAACTTTTGAAATTATGAATAATGATCTATTTATTCACTGACACACTGATAAAATATCAATCATAAAAATACCAATATCCCAAACTTATTTTGCCCAGTATATTAATCATTTTCCATCCTTTCTACATATTATTGGTCGTATCATTAATGGAGTCAAACAATGTAACGAAAGGGTCAAGCTACACCATCATGTTTCAGTTCATAACTGCATGTGTTGAGGAAATTCTAAATGTTATATCAAACATATAGTTATAAATTGCACAAAACCTTCTAATTCATCCACTACAAGACACTGAAGATGGTGGATTAATGTGCGAATCTGTGTGTTACATGCTATCGATGGCATATAATATATAAACACATACTACGGAACACTTTATATTCCTCGGCAAATCAGATAGGCAATATTTTCCTCATTACCAAGGCAACTGAGGAAATTATACAAGTTGTATGCTTGCTAAGGCCGTAGTGGCTGGTTGGTCGGTTTGTTTTTAAACGCCTCACTCAGCAATATTCCAGCTATATGGAGGCGGTCTGTAAATAATCGAGTCCAGACCACACAATCCAGTGATCAACAGCATGGGCATCGATCTACGCAACTGGGATACGATGACATGTGTCAACCAGTCAGCGAGCCTGACCTCCCGATCCTGTTAGTCGCCTTTACGACAAGCGTGGGTTGCTGAAGATCCATTTTAACCCGGATCTTCACGGGTATAAAACTGTAGTGATGTGTGGGTGCGAGCTTCTGAATACAGCGCTACAGCTTTGTCACACAGGCCCTCGTGTCTTTGCGAGGATATATTATTATTTTTGAGATGACCCCCGACTCAAAATACTTCATAGTACAATGCATCATGATGTATTGTACTGTGAAGCTTTTCGAGTCGGGGGTCATCTCAAATGTTTATGCATTTTAAAAAATGTAATCCTCGCAAAGACACGAGGACCTGTGCTTTGTCAAGCCTCCGTTGCATTTGTTGAGTGTCTGAATCATACGGATGCAGGAAGCTTGCCTGCTTTCTCGCTCTGTACTGTACTTAAATAGATTTCAAACAAAGTCACGGTTGGTTAGAAAACAGGTTGTCCGTTTATTTCCATGTGTTATTTTATAAGTAGAAACATTACTAATGTTACTCAGTAGATGCATGTTGTATATAATTATATGTGTAAATGTCAAGTCTCTGAAAATTCATAATCCATCTTTGTATTGAGTGTTATGACTGTACACAACATTGAACAGCATTTCTGACAAATCCCGCAGTGTCAGATTGTAGACTGGGAGAATTGATGCAAGTCTCAAACGCCTATCAATGTGGTGAAACCCTTCCGCTAACAAACGATCATATCAGTCCGATTCAAACCTACAATTAGCGAATCCTGCTACGAGTAGGGGACCTAACTATGTAGTTCCGATGTCTCAGGCGCCATGGCCACCAACCAGCCTTCATATAATATGAATTCGAATAAAGATAATATTAATGGTTCAAACCAGTGAAAACACCCAAATCTGTCGACCACTCCCCATATTGCCACATGGCTGTTCTTGCATATTAAAGTGATAAAACATATAATCAATGTAAACAGTCATTACGACCTCTTGACTTTTCAACTAATTACCATTTTTAAAATTATATACATAAAGGAAAGTGTTTACACAGAAATCATATCACAGAATGGGTTCGACAATTCAACCACGTGGTCATTAACCGTCGTAAGGAGGGGGTGCTGTTGCATAAGCCGTATCTGACTTTCCATAACCAGGACTTGGTTGTCCAAAGCCTGTGGGTGGTTGTCCATAACCTGTGTTTGGTTGTCCATAACCTGTGTTTGGTTGTCCATAACCTGTGTTTGGTTGTGAATATGCCGTTTGACCTGGAATGGATGTACAAATGATTGGCATAGTGTGCATTTAGTACATCCCTATTAATCTATCAACGTGACTACATGAAATATACATAAAACAAGCTGTACCCCTGGTTTCTTTAAAACTTGTATATATCTTGAAACGGATTAACGGTAACGTATGGAATAATAACACAGTATTGATTACCGGTAGCATATGGATTAACGACAGCCCATGGATTGATAGTTTTGAATTTAAAATCTTTTTAAAAATAAATTTCAGGCAAATCATTTCTTTGTTTCAATAGTCTGGAGTATCATTTTCCTTTTCATGCAATTAAGTATTTGCTATAAAATCCGAAACATTCTTCCTATTGTTTTACACATACCACTGTTGATTATATTAATGTAAATATAATTTGAGACTTATTTTTTGCCGCTGTTTTGATGCCTCGCATAAGGCTTTTCTTGTACCTTGCGTATTCATTCTTATTTACTTTTAAAAAGTCGAACCTTGTTTTCCTTCCGCCTCCTTCGGCATCAAAAGTCGTATAAAAAGTACACACTGCTTTGAAACTAAACATAAACGGTTCGTATGATGATAGAAATAAGATCTGCTTAACATCAACGAGAAAATATGTGTTTACTGAGAAGGTGTTTTCCTTGTGTTACTGTCGTCCCAGGGTTGTGGTAGACTTGTTGCCCAACAGCGATGTTCCTGTACAGTGCACGACGACGTCGTATACGGAGCCAGATGAAGCAGGTGGATAAAATCATGACTATGACGCCAATGATGATGCCGATACCAGCTCTGGACACAACATAACGTGGTGATGATTAAGATGTAACACAACATGTGCGGCGACTTTCAGTAGAGAAGTTCAACAACAATAGAAATAACTTTTATCCTTCGAAATGTCAGGGTTTTCAGTGGTTTTACGTCGACTGTAGCAATAATAACGGCCGAGAACACCGTAAAAATGGGCTTCATACGATGTACAGGGGATCGAGTGAGTGAGTGAGTTTAGTTTTACGCCGCACTCAGCAATATTCCAGTTATATGGCGGCGGTCTGTAAATAATCGATTCTGGACCAGACAATCCAGTGATCATCATCATGAGCATCGATCTACGCAATTGGGATACAAGGACATGTGTCAACCAAGCCAGGAGCCTGACCACCCGGTCCCGTTAGTGACCTCTTACGACAAGCATGGGTTACTGAAGGTTCATTCTAACCCGGAAACTGGACTAGGTATCTGACAATGGCTTTGAACGTTGTTCAGAATATCGACCACTAGTTTGACCAGCATGGGTACGGTTATGTGCAGGTTATCTCATACAGTTGGATATTGCTGATAGTGGAATAACACAACAAGCAGATCCTCAATAACTTACCCGTTGCTAAGGCAACAGTAGACGAATAAAGTGTCAGAGCAGCAGCCAAATAGACAATTAATACTTGAAGTGGCGACATAGCAGGTTGTTGCGACAGCACCTGGAAACATATTGTTGTTTGAAATAAACAGCTGAACCTCTGTAACTTAGTTGTCCTCCAAAATGGGCTATAAAGACAAATGTACCTATAATTACATATTCAGGAATTATTATTGAGCTTCGTAAATTTAACCGTAAATTTGGACATTTATGACAGTGATCGATGTGCTATTAACGAATCACTTGAACACCAGTTACAGAGATTGGTTATGGTATAACGCCGATTTTAGCAATATTCCAGCAATATCACGGCGGGGACACCAGAAATTGGCTTCACACATTGTATCAATGTGGAGAATCCAACACGGACCTTCAACGAATCACTTGAACACCATTAGGCTACCCTACCGCCCCTCAAATACTGTACGTGCGACACGGGTCAAATGTTAATTATGATTAACTGTTCCCACCACAAGGAGTTCCAGTTCTCTCGTGCTGGTCTTAAAGGCAACACCATTGAGAATACGTTCTGCATCATTGTGATTCACAATTGAAAAACAGTTTGTTTATGCTTTCGACACACTGTTAGCAAACTCGAAAAATGACATTTTAAACACAATGAATAAAACTTGATTGAAGATGATTAAAAACAGGTTATCCCAAGCTCACCCCCAAACGCAAATAACGGTGTCGCCAATGCATTTGCAATGCCTGACAAGTAACAGTCCATAGGTTTACCGTTCATGTAGGGCAACAGTGGCGCAAGTGCAAAATTACGGAACAGTCAAATCGTAAATACAAGCACACATATCCGTTAGTACAAACACGTAAGTGGAAGATACTGAATAAATGTCTATATCGTAAGACGTCATATATTACTCATGGCACTTGATGACTTCCGTGTATATACGTTCCTGTTTCTGATTCACATTTCTTGTTATTTTATGCAATTCGGTGTCATGTTTGTTTGTGTTTTCATGTTTTCTTTGGCGAGATTAGCTTAATTTCGCGTTAAGATATGATTGACACAAATTTTAATAGGCTCTGAGACAATAATGAGAATTGTGGCATCCGATACGGTTTGTTTTCTATGTACATTGGCTTCCCTGTTCAAGATGGAACTGCGTAGTTTCAGATATGACCACATCTTGTAGTATTTTACAAGATGCATGAACAGAGTCTCTCATGCAAATCTACCTGTACACGGATTGCTTAGCGTAGCTTGATAAATATCCCAACGATAGTATTACAAGATGCCTGAATAAAGTCTCTCGTGCAAATCTACATGTACACGGATTGCCTAGCGTAGCTTGATAAATATCCCAACGACAATGGTGTTATCACAGTTGGAGTCCATAGGAAGAATCAAACAGGGTTAGGAGGGCACAGTCAACGTTGATAACGATGTAAAGTGCTTCCCTATGAATATGTACAAGGTCTGTTCATACATTATGTATGTATATATGTACGTACGTACGTATGTATGTATGTATGTATGTATTGGGTTTTGTGTGTGTGTGTGTGTGTGTGTGTGTGTGTGCGTGCGTTCGCGTGCGCGCGCGCATCTGTACAATGCACATTTATCATATTCAATACAATTGTGATTCTCAACTCTGCAGAATGACCGACAAACTACTTCTTTGAAGTATCCAAACAATATGTTTAACGGTTAAAGTATATAACAGACCTTCCTACATGACCTTCAGACAAATGATATCAGACTATATGCCGTATAAGCATGAATATTGGTTTAATTGCTCTCATGCAGTACACGATGAGATTAATGGGTTTATTCTTTTCTGTCCCTAATGTGGAGTAATTAGATCAGAACTTATAATCATTGTGTACAGAAATTAACGAACTTCATTTCTTATAATGCAATGTAAAGTCGACTTGTGTATCAACCCAAACTGACCTTACTTTTTAGGATTCTAAAGCCAGGACAGGCATTTTATCTCAAAAAGGTCAATTTATATAATTATGTATTCGTGTTTGTGCGTGTGAGTGTGTGTCTATGTGTGTTTCTGTGTGTGTGAGTGTGTCAGTGTCTCTCTGTGTGTCTGTCTGTCGGTCTCTGTGTGTGTGTCTATGTGTGTCTCAGTGTGTTTGTTAAAGTCTGTGTGTGTCTCAGTGTGTGTGTGTGTTAAAGTCTCTGTGTGTGTCTGTGTCTATGTGTGTCTCAGTGTGTGTGTCGGTCTGTGGGTCTGTGTGTAAGTGTGTCTCTGTCTATGTGTCTCTCAGAGTGTGAGTGTGTCAGTGTCTGTGTGTGTGTGTGTCTGTCGGTCTCTGTGAGTGTGTCTGTGTCTATGTGTGTGTGTGTGTGTCTATCGGTCTCTGTGAGTGTGTTTGTGTCTATGTGTGTCTCAGTGTGAGTGAGTCAGTGTATCTGTGTGTCTGTCTGTCGGTCTGTGTGTGTGTGTCTCTGTCTATGTGTCTCAGTGTGTGAGTGTCGCTGTCTTTCATTGTGTGTCTGTGTTAGTGTGTGTGTCAGCGTCTCTGTGTGTGTGTGTGTGTCTGTCTCTCTATGTGTGAGAGTGTCTGTGTCTGTCGGTCTCTGTGTGTGTGTCTGTGTCTATGTGTGTCTCAGTGTTTGAGAGTCTGTGTCTGTCGGTCTGTGTGTGTGTGTGTGTGTGTGTGTCTATATGTGTCTCAGTGTGTGTGTGTGTGTGTGTGTGTGTGTGTGTGTGTGTGTGTGTGTGTGTGTGTGTGTGTGTGTGTGTGTGTGTGTACGTGCGTGAATTATATTCAATACAATTGTGATTCCCAACTCTGCAGAATGACCGACAAACTTCTTCTTTGAAGTATCCAAACAATATGTTTAACGGTTAAACTATATAACAGACCTTCCTACATGTCTTCAGACAAATGATATCAGACTATATGCCGTATAAGCATGAATATTGGTTTAATTGCTCTCATGCAGTACACGATGAGATTAATGGGTTTATTCTTTTCTGTCCCTAATGTGGAGTAATTAGATCAGAACTTATAATCATTGTGTACAGAAATTAACGAACTTCATTTCTTATAACGCAATGTAAAGTCGACTTGTGTATCAACCCAAACTGACCTTACTTTTTAGGATTCTAAAGCCAGGACAGGCATTTTATCCCAAATAGGTCAATTTATATAATTATGTATTCGTGTTTGTGCGTGTGAGTCTGTGTCTATGTGTGTTTCTGTGTGTGTGAGTGTGTCAGTGTCTCGCTGTGTGTCTGTCTGTTGGTCTCTCTGTGTGTGTCTATGTGTGTCTCAGTGTGTTTGTTAAAGTCTGTGTGTGTCTGTGTTTATGTGTGTCTCAGTGTCTCAGTGTCTCAGTGTGTGTGTCGGTCTGTGGGTCTGTGTGTAAGTGTGTCTCTGTCTATGTGTGTCTCAGTGTGTGAGTGTGTCCGTGTCTCTGTGTGTGTCTGTCGGTCTGTGTGTGTGTGTCTGTGTCTATGTGTGTGTGTGTCTATCGGTCTCTGTGAGTGTGTTTGTGTCTATGTGTGTCTCAGTGTGAGTGAGTCAGTGTATCTGTGTGTCTGTCTGTCTGTCGGTCTGTGTGTGTGTGTCTCTGTCTATGTGTCTCAGTGTGTGAGTGTCTGTGTCTTTCATTGTGTGTCTGTCTTAGTGTGTGTGTCAGCGTGTGTGTGTGTCTCAGTGTGTGTGTGTGTGTGTCTGTGTGTCTGTCTCTATGTGTGAGAGTGTCTGTGTCTGTCGGTCTATGTGTGTGTGTGTGTGTCTGTGTGTGTCTCAGTGTGGGAGTGTCTGTGTCTGTCGGTCTATATGTGTGTGTGGGTGTGTGTCTGTGTGTGTCTCAGTGTGAGTGAGTCAGTGTATCTGTGTGTCTGTCTGTCTGTCGGTCTGTGTGTGTGTGTCTCTGTCTATGTGTCTCAGTGTGTGAGTGTCTGTGTCTTTCATTGTGTGTCTGTCTTAGTGTGTGTGTCAGCGTCTGTGTGTGTCTCAGTGTGTGTGTGTGTGTGTGTCTGTGTGTCTGTCTCTATGTGTGAGAGTGTCTGTGTCTGTCGGTCTCTGTGTGTGTGAGTGTGTGTCTGTGTCTATATGTGTCTCAGTGTGTGTGTGTGTCTCAGTGTCTGTTGGTCTCTGTGTGTGTCTGTGTGTGTGTGTGTCTTTGCCTGTGTGTCTGTGTGTATCCTACGTATGTATCCTATCAGTGATATACAGTAATAATCCTCTGCTTATCTTTCTGCCTACAAATCGCTCTTTTCGGCGTCACGGGCAATGAAACTAGTTGGTTCAATAAAAAGGTTACTAAACAATCGCGAACCTAACAGCATTCAAGTTATATCACTGAGTGTCAGCTTTGTGTAGGAGTATATCCTGGATTGAAGGACTGTCAAATCGACATGACTCGGCCTTTCAAATTATATGAATCATCAAATTACTTTGCTGAATCCCCCATGGTGTACAACACACGGACAAAGATAGTGATTACTTGCAATACCATTCGCTGTGTGAATTAACTCAATTAATAAATTATCTAAATTAATTATATAAACTTTTATATCACGAGTGTAACTATGTGGGTAGAGCGTTAGCTGGTCTGCACCAAGACCCAAGTTTGTTCCCCACAAGGATACAATATGTGTGAAAATCATTATGGGTCCCCACAGGATTATTGCTAAAGACGGCGTAAAACCATACTCACTCATGTATAGACAATGGGTATGTGTTTAGTTGACCTTCTTCGTAAATTTTGTACAAAGGTTTCAGTTAACCGATGTGATAGGTCAGTTCAAACAAATCCATATAACGCCACATATATCCTTGATAGAGTGAGTGAGTGAGTCAGTCAGTCAGTTTAGTCTTACGCCGCTTTCAGAAAAACTCCATCAATATCACGGCAAGGGACACGAGTGATGGAATGAGTGAGTGAGTTTAGTTTTAAGCCGCTTTAAGAAATACTCCACTATTATCACACATTGTACCCTTAATGGAAGCACATGTGTATATTTACTTATGTACATTTACAGTCATTAGGGTTACCGTACTTAAGCATATATTTTGGTGAATGTTTTGCTGACAAAGAAGAACGCCATGACGACAAGTAAATCATGTACACAAAATATGAAATTTGCTTGATTGTTAATCCTTTTCATACGAAAATGGATTTTTAATGAAATTATACAAATCCCAGACTCTTTCTATTCTTTCCACACAAAACCACCCTCCCAAAAACATAATTTTATAGTGATTACGTTATTTCATATTAAACGAGGTTTATGATTAAATGAGTGAGTGAATATGGTTTTACGCCGCTTTTAGTAATATTCCAGCAACATCACGGCGGGGGACACCCGAAAAGGGCTTTACACATTGTGCCCATGTGGGGAATCGAACCCGGGCCTTCAGACTGACGAGCGAACGCTGTAAGAACTAGGCTACCCATCTCCCCATTTATGATTAAAACGCAGATATATGGGAAGGGTACGAGCCGTTATCGCGAACCCCGATATCATCCCTATTTGGAAGACAATGATAAACACGTGACTTTGGTGGTGACATCACAAAGCGGACTGTGATTATATAATAGCAAACCTTTATGAGAATAGAGAATTTTTTTTCGCTGCTTTAGCATCATAATCATCATCATCACCGTCGTTGTAAACATACGTTGAGGTAATGTGATATATTTCGGTAGATACATCACTGTAGACCTAGTTTCACTTGACCTAGTTTCGTTATCAGTTGAGGCCGACCTTATCAACACATGACTCCTCACAAGGCCACGTATTCTGCTCTAACACATACTCTCAACATTCCCGTACAAACATCAGCTTTTGGGAAAAATATATACAACATATACGTATTAACATTTATTGGAACAAATAATAAATATGGAGAATTTCGCTATTTTCGGTTACATGTATTTAGCCTTGACCTCGTGATTTAGGAAATCCCAATTTCTGGGCAAGCTGCGCACCTGTGTACGGTAAGTTTAAATAAAATTTAAATTGTACGAATTCACCGATCACAGTACTGTCCTCATTTCATTGTATATTTAATCCTTAACTAACTGAAACACATTAAATACACATAATGAAAATGAAAGCCACGTTAAAGTTGAGAATTATCGGAAACAAAGAACTCCCCACACGTCCGTTCTTTGTTTGAGAAAAATACGTACATTTTAACAGACTGAGTGTTAAACAGGTTGAACCAACCTTGTATTACAGCAGAGACGAGGAAGACGAGTACCCCTGTCGCCGACATGATGATAGGTAGAGAGACTGGCTGTTGTTAGCATGTGACTATAGACGAGATTGTTGTGAATAACCTAGCTGGTCACAGTCACATGGCTTCTTCCGGGTCGGGGTATTGTTGTGACATTGCCTTATTGTGAATGCTTGACTACATCTGTTTGTGTAATGTCATCTCGAAAACAGGGCGAGGGGTTAGCCAGGGAGAAGCTATGTGTTGTTCTTTTTTAACATTGAGAATCCAGTAAATATTATAAAACGTTTGGATACCGGTTTAGAACAACACAATTCTTGTTCACTGGATGTCTAAAAGATATCTCGTAGATTTTAAAAATCTCAACCCTTCAGTGATTTTTTTCTGTTTGAGCAGTAATCAAAAACAGTTGCTGTTTTATGTTTGATTCTGTCCAGTCTTTACAAAGTGTACTGTTTTCTTTCAATAGTATCATATTCTTATCTCGAAAGGACACAAGTGCGTGGAAGAAACTTATTAAATGATACAGTGATTTTAGAGATGTGTATTCCAGAAAATTTTATGGATTTCTATATATGTGATCCGTTTATAACAAATACGGAAGCATTTATTCCATCAGTGTGACATCTTCCACTATCATTGTGACTGTCACTCCGCCATCAGTGTGACATCTTCCACTATCATTCAAAATGTATCTCAATGTGTCTCTCCACCATTATTGTGACTGTCAATCTACCATCATTAGGACTGTCTATCCTCCATCACTGTGTCTGTCTATCCACCATCACTATGACTATCTCCACCATCACTGTGGCTGTCCACCATCACTGTGACTGTCTCTCCACCACCACCATGACTGTCTATCCACCATCACTGTGACTGTCTATCCACCATCACTGTGACTGTCTATCCACTATCACTGTGACTGTCTATCCACCATCACTATGACTGTCTCTCCACCATCACTGTGACTGTCCCTCCACCATCACTGTGACTGTCTATCCACCATCACTGTAACTTTCTCTCCACCTTCACTATGACTGTCTCTCCACCATCACTGTGACTATCTATCCACCATCACTGTGACTGTCTCGCCACCATCACTGTGACCGTCCATCATCACTGTGACTGTCTCTCCACGATCACCATGACTGTCTATCCGCCATTACTGTGACTGTCTATCCGCCATCACTTTGACTGTCTCTCCACCATCACTGTGACTGTCTCTCCACCTTCACTATGACTGACTCGCCACCATCACTGTGACTATCTATCCACCATCACTGTGTCTGTCTCTCCACCATCACTGTGACCATCCACCATCACTGTGACTGTCTCTCCACCAACACTATGACTGTCTATTTTACACCATCCTGTGACCATCCACTATGACGTCCATCATCTGTGATGTCTCTACACCATCACCATGACTGTCTATCCACCATCACTGTGACCGTCCATCATCACTGTGACTGTCTCTCCACCATCACCATGTCTGTCTCTCCACCATCACTGTGACTGTCTCTCCACCATCACTGTGTCTGTCTCTCCACCATCACTGTGACTGTCTCTCCACCATCACTGTGACTGTCTCTCCACCATCACTGTGACTGTCTCTCCACCATCACTGTGTCTGTCCACCCACTGTCTCTCATCCCACCATCACTGTGACTGTCTCTCCACCATCACTGTGACTGTCTCTCCACCATCACTGTGACTGTCTCTCCACCATCACTGTGACTGTCTCTCCACCATCACTGTGTCTGTCTCTCCACCATCACTGTGATCTGTCTCTCCACCATCACTGTGACTGTCTCTCCACCATCACTGTGTCTGTCTCTCCATCTCACTCCACCATCACTGTGTCTGTCTCTCCACCATCACTGTGACTGTCTCTCCACCATCACTGTGACTGTCTCTCCACCATCACTGTGACTGTCTCTCCACCATCACTGTGACTGTCTCTCCACCATCACTGTGTCTGTCTCTCCACCATCACTGTAGTCTGTCTCTCCACCATCACTGTGACTGTCTCTCCACCATCACTGTGTCTGTCTCTCCATCATCACTGTGTCTGTCTCTCCACCATCACTGTGACTGTCTCTCCACCATCACTGTGACTGTCTCTCCACCATCACTGTGACTGTCTCTCCACCATCACTGTGTCTGTCCCTCCACCATCACTGTGACTGTCTCTCCACCATCACTGTGACTGTCTCTCCACCATCACTGTGTCTGTCTCTCCACCATCACTGTGACTGTCTCTCCACCATCACTGTGACTGTCTCTCCACCATCACTGTGTCTGTCTCTCCATCATCACTGTGACTGTCTCTCCACCATCACCATGACTGTCTCTCCACCATCACTGTGTCTGTCCCTCCACCATCACTGTGTCTGTCTCTCCACCATCACTGTGACTGTCTCTCGAACATCACTCTGATTGTCTCTCCACCATCACCGTGACTGTCTCTCCACTGTCTTTTTCACTTATGGACTGTATTTAACATTTCAACATTAAATATGCCATTTCCCAGAGGCCATGTACCCTCATTCCTGTGTCATGAATTTCACGTATGCTGCTAGATCCAAAACGCCAACTGAGAAAAACAGTATGTACATTTTCACAGGGATTTGTTAATTAGTTAACGTAGTTAATTTAAACAGTATGTTTTTGATACCATGGCGAGTCTGCGTGACGTGGGAGGGATATTAGATATGAGATCAGGTGTAATTGTTTCAAACATTTTTATAAATCATACAATTTTATAAAATAATATTTAATGTGCGTTCAGTACGCGCCATGTATAGAAAATAAAAGAAATACATTGCGTCACCCGTTGGTAACAAGGGGTCCTGCTGACCCCTGCTGACCCCTTGTCTTGCTGACATTCTTTGAACCTGTTTTGGGTCAATCTTAATATGCTACCGAATACGCAAGAACGTGTATAGTGATGACAAACTTACAAAGGGCACTGCGCCAAACCCAAACATAACTGGATGTATTTCAATGTGCTCAAACGATTAATTGTGTAAGGATCCATTTTTTCATAAGCAAAATATTAATAATCGGCGACGGCTCCACCATTGTGTTCTTGTTCAAATTCCCCGTAGCCTAGTGGTTAAAGCCTTCGCTCGTCAACGAAGAATGACCGGGTTCGATTCCCCACGTGGGTACAGTGTGTGAAGCCTATTTCTGGTGTCCCCCGATGTGATATTGCTAGAATATTGCTGAAAAAGGTGTAAAACCATACTCACGCACTCATACTTAAGATTCCCACGCTTCAACTTGTCAACTTTGGCCTTTGTTGGCTACCAGGAAGTGTCAGTAGAAATATGATCAGGCGAACGGCCTGGAAATCATGTGCAATAGGCCATGGCGGCTCTCGCAGACTCGAAAAACAGTCCAAATATATGTGTAACAAAAACGTGGATACTAGGGATTCGAACAAAATATCGTCTACACTTTAACCTCGGATCAGAACTTTAGATCAGCGTATCCAGGTACCGCCAAGTAATAGGGCCCGTTAGCAGACCTTGGCACTTCAAGTGAGACCGTAGTACTCCCGGTGACAAACAACGTACACTTGGTCCCTTCTAGTAAAGTCATATTTGGCGGTCGCGCAATTTGAAACCAGAACCAGTTCTTGAATATACGCTTGCCACCGGAAATCTAGGACCGGAATTAAGCTGGGATTCTATCTCGCATATCGCAAGCTGGCGCGCACAAAGGGAGCCGGGAACCAGCTTAGTAGCGAGGGTAGCGCCTCGCTGGACTTACAGGCCCTATACCACGTTTATTAAAGGAGTGAATAGGTCATACATGTGACTCACTACCATAACTATTCGCAGGTTTGATAAAATCTGTATTACAGGGAATGAGTTAGTAGCTTATTCATTATTTGCTGCTTAGATTTATTTTTATAAATGAAATAATTTGTGTAATACCAGCTTATTGTTCACTCCGGCGACAAGACCTACAACACCCTGGAAGCAGGACATAACATAAATCATAAATACCTGTTGCCAATGTGCTGAACGTTCCTGAACTGGACCCGACGTTGGTGCGTTCATGAATTCTTTGGGAACAACAGTTGACTATGGGCAGAATGATACACAATAAGACCACAATCAGCGCAGAACCAGGTCTTCTGAAATATAAAAGTTATACAGTCGGTTTGGCTCAAAAGCGGACCGATGAATTGCAGTCTAACTCGAAAAGTAATAAACATAAAATGCTCAATGAAACGCTGATCATAATGAAAACATTAGACCAACTCTGTGAGGTTTTTGCAGAATTTATGCCCAAAAAATATATATGTTATTTAAGAAACGATCATTAAAATATTGACTAAGTTCACCATTTGTTAACAGGTATGAGTGCAAAGAAAGGTACAGCCAGCTGTGCGAGAAAGGATGGAGACGACAGAGCACAGGTTAATAAATCAGTAACTTTGTCGGCACTTGTGCACGTGCTTCTCGAATACCTGACTGTCCCTTTCTCTGCACTCCTCCCTTGTAACAAATAGTGAACTTTGTCAATATTTTAATGAGTAGTTTGTTAAACAACCTTTTTAACAAGAAATATAAATAAAGGTTATTATACTGAACTCCAGTTTTGACAAACGACGAATATATTTTAAGATATGCTGTTGGTGCCGAGGAAGGGCATCCACTGACAATGTGTTGGACAGTCTCTGTAAATTCATTGCACAAACGACATTTCATGTTAATATTTTCTTTAAGAATCACATTTTGGAAATTGTCAGTTGGAACTGATTTGGGTAGCAAAAAGAAATATCATGAAGGTTATTATACAGTCTAAGTAAACTTAGGCTCAGTATTATTCGTTACACTGCTATACTGAATCTAGCAAAACCTTATGGAAGGTCGCGTCAGGAAACCTTTTCAATTGACCAATCAGAACACAGCTTACCAAATCGCGAAACTTGACATTCTTACATACCTTTTGAACTTTTACCTCGAAAAAGTTTTGTACCCGATCGGTTCCGAGTGATGAACATGGAGCACGCCACAGCAGTGAGTAAACAGTCGCAGAAAATAGCGTTTTGTCAGTATTCAAGGATGTCAGCTTGCGGAAATATTAGCTAATGAAAACCATGTCAACAGAAACCCAAAAGCGTATATTCTTCGTCATAAATCTATGTTTTATGCGGGTTTTCATTTGTGGTGAGATCAGTGTTGGTGACCGGGAAAGAGGAAATCCATTTTGTAAGTCCCGCCGAACCCTAACTAGTAGCTGTTGTCTGATTGGTTAAATCCGTTCGGCCGTCTCGCGTTTGACTGGACGGTCATAGGTCGCGACCTTCCACAAGGTCTCATATAGACTCAGTTTAGCAGTGTAACGAATAATACTGAGTCTAATTTTACTTAGACTTGGTTATTATATTGAACACCAGTTTTGAATAACGACGAATCCTCATCTAAGCCAATCTAACATCAAACCCACCATGAACGGATCATGGCACAACTAAGGGACGCAACTCGACACACTCAGTTGCAACGTACTTGGCCGCTAGGTCATAATTTGGAAATTACATTTACGCAATCGTATTCTATATTTCAGTAATGTTTAGAAGATCACTCATGGGTACACACATAACTTTCTTGAGCATCAACACAGAGCGAGTTTGTAATAACCTCTTTTGCAGATATATATTGTGACGTCATAACATATGACGTAATAGTTATGCACACCTTTTAAAATCTGGCAGTGAACATTGTTAGGTTTAGAGTGTGATTGCCCGGACTGAATTTAGGCCACTTTTCCAATAATACCGACGTTTTGTAATACAATCGAACCCCAATATCTCGAACTCGGTTGTGTCGAATATTCGGTTGTGTTGAACACATCTTTCGGTTCACCTCGATTTCCTTATATTTATCATTATTTTTACCCTGATGTCCCGAACTAGATGTGTCGAATTCCCAGTTGCATCTTTTTGTATACATATTAATTTGTCATGAGTAAAGTGATTGAATAATTTAGATTTATATATATTTTTTAATTTAATGATCAGTACTGCAGTACCCGTTTATTGCAAAGATGTATTGTTTGTATATATAGCCTACTATAGAAAAACGATGTTGTAAGCACTTTGGTGGCGTTGGTACTTGGTCATTTCTATGCTGACGGATGTGTCGAACACTCGGATAAATCATTTTTCCCTTGGTCCTGACGAGTTCGACACAGAGGCGTTTGACTCTAGATGGGTCGAGCCATTGTTTAGATAATAAAGTGTTTAACGAAATTAATATGCTACGGTACATAATTATGATTAGCGGAAATTGAACTGAACAAGCGCATATGGGCACACCGGATATTTTATATATTCTCATGGATGGCGCTTTAAAAGATTTTAGGGTACCGGTTACGAGCTCTGGAATGTCTTCCATATCAGTGCGCACTAGTTCAGCATGAAGTACTTACTAATTACTTACGCAGCAATAGATGTTCACCTCGTTTTCACAACATCCCGCGATGCAGTACATTGTGGCATTGTTGTCGTCGCATCTAGCTTCAGCGGCTGTCCTTAAACACATGTCAGTTTACCACGGTCAGATGTAATAGTGTGTTATATTTGGAAGGGCTGTGCAAATAAACTGTATCAATACACAATGTCATTTAGGAAGCGGTCAAATGTAACTTATGTTATATTATGGATTACACCTTCTCAGTAAAGTACAGATGTTTTTACTTTTTTGGGTTAAATCCCATCCGGGATTCGAACCCACACTCGGGCACCTAAAGGTCTAGCCCACGGTACCCCTCTGATAAGTTTAAATTGGCCAGTCTCCCACGTCCAAAAGCTATGGATGTACAATGCCATTTAGAAAGTAATCAAATGTAACAAATGTTATTTTTGGGATTACACTTTCTCGTAGGGATTACGGCCTAATTCGTCGAATTTTAAACAGTCAGCCAGACTAATCAGTTGACATCATGCTTGAGTGATTCTAGGCTAATCGGTAGACCATCGACGCGCAACAGACCGTGTTAACACATTTGGAGAAGCTAAGTTCAGTAATGAAGGGGTTAGCTTGTATTGGATCAGGCTGCATGTTTTCTACGTGGGTAAAGGGTTCGCAAATGCGTAAGGGGATTTTTCAATGAACTCAGCTTCTTTTCTGTAATATTTTGAAGATATTCTCTTTTGTTGTACAACTGAATAACAATGAGTGAGTGAGTGAGTTTAGTTTTACGCCGCACTCAGCAATATTCCAGCTATATGGCGGCGGTCTGTAAATAATCGAGTCTGGACCAGACAATCCAGTGATCAAGAGCATGAGCATCGATCTGCGCAATTGGGAACCGATGACATTTGTCAACCAAGTCAGCGAAACTGACCACCCGATCCCGTTAGTCGCCTCTTACGACAAGATAGTCGCCTTTTTATGGCAAGCACATGGGTTGCTGAAGACCTATTCTACCCCGGATCTTCACGGGTCACTGAATAACAAAACAGAACAGAGTTTATTTTAGAGACTTGGGATTCCTTGAACCCCTCATGATAAATATACTATCCCAAAAATGAAACGCATAGTCCAGAAATCTGTTGCGGAAATATTGTATTTTCAAACATGTATAACTCGTCCACACATTGACTTTAGTGCATGAATTTTTACATCAGTTTAGAAGAGGCTGATGTCTATACAACCAAGTGGATAATTTTAGATAACGGAGACGCTGAGCGCCATGGTGACAACGTAGCACGGGCCCGACGTCGGGTCACCTGGCTATCAGTCCAATCTCTCTCAACCTGTTCCTTACAGTTTGACCGGATATCCCCCAAAGTCAAGGCACCCTGGATGCTGTGCTCTCACCCGTAGCAGTACGATCACGCAAATGTAGTACCCGGATGTAACGAACTTGAGCTACAGTGGTGACTCGAGGTCTGCCTGTTACGGGGACGGTCATTTGCTTTACCTGTTTGGTTGTAACTAGCTGCAAGCCGTGATATCGTGCTCAGACTATCATTCGGGCGCCTGGCAACCGAAGATTGGTAATCTCCAGCGTGCATTCTTTCAATGGCGATGTTCCGTGTCGCAGCGTCAAAACGTGGCGTAGTGATTTGACCTTGAAACTCTTTTAAAACGAATGCCGATTTCCGAAAGTAATATGGATTTATATAGCCAGATAGTGCATGCTCTTTGCTTCACAATTTCAACTGGAAGGTGATTCTTGTTGTGTTTTGGCGATGCGTTCTTAATCCTTGTAAGAAATCTTATCAAAATCAACATTTTCAGGTAAAGTCGATTTTTTCACTTGTATATATAATCTGTACAAAGTATGAGGCAGGACATGAATTATTTACGATACATACATTCTTTGATAAATTTTGTTAAAAGCAATAGAGTATTTTTATCAGTAGACTACAACAGCCTTATAAATATATGCTTTGGACACTCCCAAAAATAACTACTTATATACTTGACGTATAAACATCTTACTTTTTACACGGTGTCCTCCCATTTTTCAGACAGCCATTCTACAGACAGTCATTCTTCAGACACTTAATTAGAGGGATTAATTACCCTCACCCCACAGCAATAATGGAACAGCTTAATTAGCCTACTCAGTGCTCAGGAGAGCAGAGAGATTTTTAAAAGGAGAACCATTGTTCTTATATAGCTATATAAAGTGCATTAGACTAGAACCATTATGTCATTATGGCTGGTTTACAGAAAGTAGATTTTGTTACGTCGCAGATGGGTACAAGTCAAGTATTCTTTCAAGGTTATCTGTACAGCAAGAATAAAGTAAGACATACATGCATCCACTGGAGGTAAGTTCTACCAGGATGCAACGGGATGTGCACAACTGTAGGTGATTACTGTCGCAATGTCAGCGAACACATCCACCCACCAGGAGATGCTGATAAAGCTAAATTCCTCAGCACACTCAGGAAGAGAGCGAGAGAAGGAACGACCCAAATGCACGCCTTCTATGACGACCAGATTCCCAGGGAGGACAACGATGTTCCCTATGTTACGACGAAAATTGTAATAAAAATGCAAATTGTAATACTTGCAGCAAATTGTAATAAACTTGACGTAAATTGTAATAAAAACGTAAATTGTAATAAAAATTGACGTAAATTGTAATACGCAAATTGTAATAAAAATTGAC